GCTGAAAGCTAAGACAATTGAAGGCTTATCTGTGTTATAGAATAAGCAGTAATCCTCTCAAGACCCAAGTCAGCAACAAACAACATATGTGCAAAAACTTTTTACTATAAGCTCAATAGTTAAAAAGTAAATTCTTCAAAGGCAATCTTCTAATTTCATACACTTTGATAATGTAAGTTAAAAGAACTTTAAAAAACCCTAAGCAGATTCGGGCTACATTTGCTTCAATATGTATGTATGTATGTATGTATGTATGTATGCATATGTATATATCGTCCAATTATTTGTACATACACGTGTGTGTATAGATTAGAAAAGCAAAGCACACAACTATAGGACTGTTCATTGTTCTATACTATCTGTAGAATCTATACTGTCATCCTCTGTGAGCTCTAAACCCCATCTCTACTCACATCAAGAAATCAAAAATGAAGAGTATGAAAGACACACAGAAAATTGTGTTTAACCCCTTCTGCTATTTATGCTCAAGCCTTTGGAGGTCATGACAAACTTAATACTGTGTGTCCGAGGTATCTAACAGGATAGCAAGGAAAAAAGAAGACTGACAAGTTAGAGATGTCCAAGTTCCTAGTCTTTGAGGGAGGATATGAAAATCCTACTGATTGATACACCTTGAGAATTCAAAGCAGTTGGGAGCCGGGTCATCAGCATCAAGGCTTATGACTTGCTAAACCCTCTTGCTTCTTTTCCCTCCAATTACAAAGCAGAAACATGGCAATGGTCCTGGTTTTAACAGGTGCATTAGAGCCAATGCTACAATGTGATACCCACAGAAGTTCTCTGCCAATGTCTTCAGGCCTACCTACCATAAAGAAATGGAAAAACACCCACAGCCCTGGAAGAGCCCAGGGGTGCCTGTTGTATTCTTCAAAGGTCATTTTCCCTCAAAGTGTAAGCCACTGGGGATACGGCATTGCTGGCTGGTGGAAAATCAAAAACGCATCTCCATCTTCACATGTGGAAAGGGCTGTCACAACTAAGGCTGTCACTGCAGCTTCTGCCACCAGCTCCTCCCACTCAAGCCTGCCCTCTGTAGCAGTAGGCTCCTGCTCTCAGGAACTTAGTTTGTGGTGAGAGACAAGTTTCCCACATCCTGTTGAAAGGGGGCCTTGTACTCACTCCAGCCTCAGAGGTTCAGCTGACTGGAACCCACTACCTCCCTTTTGCAATGGGATGGAGATGCTAGAATGGATTTGTGCTTGAGGTCAACCGAGAAGTAAAGAAATAATCTTCCAGCTCCTCTGTGATCATTCGCAGAGAAATTCAAGTAAATTCAGTCCATCAGCCAGTGTATTTTTAATGTATATTGTGGGAGAAAGTCCCAGGCCTGAAGGGAATGTTTACTTGGGAGGAGGCATGTTCCTAAAGAGGGAAAGAAAAATAAAATCAGTTCCTTGCTTTTATATCTCACCAAATAGACAATGTACATATGCAAAGTATAATTAGCTAAATATTTGTGCTATGCTGTTGGAGGGAAACAAATCTCACTTGGAGTCTGCTGTTCTGTATTGGGGCTTGCTTACCATCTTTGTATTTGCTTAGGGTTTGTCCTAAGTATTGCATTTCAGCTTCCTTCTACAAAGCAAACCACCATAGTTGAAAACTATTTCTCCATGTTAGTTTGATCTTCTTGAATCTATTACGTTTTCGTGAGCTGCTTTCCACTTCAAGATTGAGAACTTCTTCAGATTGGAGAAGGATTTTTGTCTTCTCTGTGTTTTGTTATGTCTTATGGGCTGTATTCAGCAGAGTGCTTCATAGGTTTGAGGGACCTCACCATCACCAGCATAGAAACTGGGTCTCTCCTACTTCCTGCTCCTTGTGTGTAATCAGTTAAGCCTTGGAAAGGACTACAGCTGTCTTCCTAGACCTTTTTTTCTTTACACACGAGCCCCTCACAGCCTCATGTTATCCTATAATGCCACCATAACCATGGCTGTGATGTGGGCAATCATGGCAGGAGTAAGAATGAATGGTATTCAGTGGGAAGAACCAGCCATTCAGAACAAGTGAGTCAACATACCACCACACAAGGCAAACATTTAGCAACGAACTTTTCAAAAATTGCACAAATGATTATTACTAACTTATGCTTCCCTAGGGATTAAGCATGCTATAGATCATCACATGAAGACTTTTTTTTTCCTTTTGTGTCTTTTGCCCAGGATAGAATAATGACACCCCCAGAGATGATTCATTCTCCTCCTGCTTTGATTCCCAGAACAACGAACACATCTTTTTTGTTTGTTGTTTGTTTGCTTTGTTTGGTTTTTTGAGACAAGGTTTCACTGTGAAGTTTTGGCTGTCCTGGATTTTGTTCTGTAGACCAGGCTGGTCTTGAACTCACAGAGATTCCCCTGCCTCTGCCTCCTGAGTGCTGAGATTAAAGGCTTGTGCTTCCACCTCCTGACACAACAAACACATCTTAACAGGTCAAAATTGAGTTTCCAAGTTACTTTAGATTTTCATTAGTTACCTGTTGTTCGTGGATCTTTCCTGTCCTTTGCACTTTAAAATATACACAGCAGTTGGAATGTGGCCTAGTAGTAGAGCACTTGTCTCACATTCACAATTCCCTTGGTTAGACTGTGGCATTTTTACTAGGTTATTTGTTTAAGGTTATCAAAATTTAGCTTCAATTTTAACATGAATAGCTAGTTTTATTGTTTGTCTGTTTTTGTCATCAAGAGAAAACAACAATGATTAAACATTAATATTCTTGCATTCTGGTTTCATTACAAATAGAGTATATGTTCACTGTTTTTAATTTAAAAGGGGGCAGAGGGTTCTAGTGAATTGGTTCAGTGGATAAAAATGCCTGCCACCAAGCCAATTGCCTGAGTTTGGTCCCCAGACCAGTGCTGTGGAAGGAGAAAACTGACTCCTGAAAATAGTCCTCTTGTAGAGTTCAAGGTGTTGATGTGCCAAACACACCAGTGAGCTTGGCTCCACTCACTGTTTCTTCAAGGGGCCCCCAAAAGGAACCCATTGCTCCTTTCTTCCCCATCTTTCAGCATCTGGTGAAAACTCTCAAGATGACGGTGAATTAGACTCACAAATGATAATTCTATGTATAATTCATAAGTGTGCTTGTTTGAAGACACATCAATGTAAATAATTTCCATATTAGCTCTATCTGGAAAAGACAATGTTACATTATGAATGAATTGGAAGCTATTGTGATGGCAGAAAAATCAGTGAGTACATGTTGCATTCAATTCTTGATCTGTTTGTTTATATTTTTGTTGGTTCAGAGCTAGGGACCAAACTCAAGGTCTTGTGTTTGCTAAGCAAGTGCTTCAAATACCTAACCGCTTGTGTTAACCCATTTAATTGTTAAATTAAAACAAGCAAAAATCCAGTCAACGGTGGGATTAGAGTTCTGATTTCCAAGATGAAGAAAACAGACTCGGAAAATGCCATGTTATATAGCAAAGTCAAGGCTTGCGCCTCAGTCACTGACTTCAATGCCTGTGCCTTTAGCTCAGACACTTGCAGGGTCGCCTGGATCCAGGCTAGCAGGCAAGACTAAAGTTTCCATTCTAAATCCACAACTTCCATATTTTCAAAACTAAAAATAAGGTGTGGTGTTTGACAATGGTCAGGGGTATTTCAAGGGTTTTCCCCTGTGATGCGCAAGACATGAAGCTGCTAAAACGGAGCAGGGCTCAGTTCCCCGGCAATGCAGAGAGGATGGAGAATAGATTATTAGTAAGCTTTCTTCTTTATACAAAAACAGGAAGCCTTCTAATTTGCCAGTGCTAATGCTCTATACACTGTGCCTGCACTGTGGACTCATTTAATCATAGAATCAAAAACTTCTTTCTCAGAAATAAATTTCTATCCAACCAGAGAGCAAACTTTGGTAAGTGTGCATGTGTGTACAAGCATGTATAGGTGTGTGTGTGTGTGTGTGTGTGTGTGTGTGTGTGTGTGTTTTTGTGTGTGTGTGTATGGAACCCACAATCTTGCCCATGCTGAGCACCTGCTGCATCACTGGGCAACATCTTCTGTCTGGTAGTTTCTCATTCTGCTCTCTCTTTCTCTGTGAAGCTTCAGAGAAGCTTTTTAACTTTTTTTTTTGTTTTGTTTTGTTTTGAGGCAGGATCTCATTTAGCCCAGTCTTGTCTCAGACTTGCTGTGTAGCCAAGGATAACCTCAACCTTCAGAAACTTCTGGTCTTCCTGTCTCTGCTTCCTAAATGCTGGCACTGTAGAGTGTACCACCACACCTGCTTTATTTTATGCTATGCATCTGAGCCATGGCTTCAGACATGCTAGGCAGGTATGCTCTCAACTGAGCCACATCCCCTGCTCAAACTCTGTGGTTTTGAAAGAAAGAGCAAACACAACATTAATTCTCCCAGGTTAAACTGGACTATATTAACAAAGAAAGGTGAATGCTGCCTTTCCTGAGTTATTTCCTAATTCTCATGAGGAGGGCAGGAGAGGCAGGACCTCATGGCACTAGAGGAGACAAGACTGAGGTAAAGATCTAGAAATGAGACTCCCCAACCAGTCCCTGCCGCTGGTCTATGGCCCTCCCTAGGCTTCCACCTCAGGGCCTGTTAGTCTGCATACAGTCACACAGTAGCACTCTGTATTTATAAATAAGAAGGAAACCTCACTCTGTTATTTTTAGAAGAGCTGGGATGTTCTGTAACATCTCCCTGACAGCAAACAGACTTTAAATGCAACAGGAACAGGAAAGCTCTCCCCAGCCACAGTGATGCTAACATTGCTTTCCTGGGTAAAAGCATCCAGCCTAAATTTACAGTGTCTACTTTCATTTTTAAGTTCAGTTTCCACATGAGTCTTGGTTGTAAAATGTGGGAGAATTCATTTGCTGGTCACTTCCATATGTTTTCAAATGAAGCGAAAGTCTAGAGAAATGTAGAGTGAGAGTAAATCCAACAAGACAGCTAGGCAGACAGTGAGGGGGACAGAGAAACGTTCTCAACATAAATGAGCAAGTCCCTGTATGACAAACAGAAGTTTATGCACAGCCATAGCCCTCCCTTTACAAGAAATGCTCACAACTTATTTTACCATAGAGGAACTTAAATGTTACAATAGCTGGTCAACCAATCAGCGACACCCCAGCACCCCGGCACCCGGCCGCAGATCAGGAAGCCCTTGAAGATGTAGTACTTTAAGTTGCAAGTGAGACTTCTGGCTCTCAGCTGGGTTTTTTTTGTTGTTGTTGTTGTTCCCTGTGCTTGTAGGATGGAAAAACAGATGTGAAGTCCCTCATGGCAAAGTTCAACACAGGGACTAACCCGACAGAGGAGGTCTCCGTCAACAGCAGGCCCTTCAAAGTTGCAGGACAAAATGCGCCTTCGGGAATACAAGCAAGAAAGAATTTATTTGACAACCAAGGAAATGCCAGTCCTCCCGCAGGACCCAGCAACACGCCTAAATTTGGGACCTCAAAACCACCCTTGGCAGCGAAACCTACCTATGAGGATAAGTCTGACAAGGATCCCAAACCTCCGTTTTTAAAACCTAGTGGAGTGAACCAAAGATTTGGAACACAGCCAACTTCGGTTTCTAGAGACCCTGAGGTCAAAGCGGGGTTTCTGAAACCTGTAAGCCCCAAACCCACCAACTTGACTAAAGAAGATCCCAAACCGGCGTTTTTACGGCCTTCTGGGAACAAGCTGCACAATTTGAACCAAGAGTCTGACTTAAAGACTCCAGGACCAAAGCCAGGGCCTACTCCCCCAATCCCCGAAAACGATCTAAAGCCAGGGTTCTCAAAGGTGGCTGGAGCTAAGAGCAAGTTCATGCCAGCCACACAAGATGCTGACTCCAAACCCCGATTTCCCAGACACACTTTTGGCCAGAAGCCATCCCTGAGTACAGAGGACTCCCAAGAAGAAGAGAGTACCTCTAAGAATGTGGCTGTCCAGAAAGGATCCCCAGTGCCACTAGGGGCTAAGGGCAAGGGTGGCCCTTTCAAACCAGGTAGGGAAGACACAGAGGATAAAGACAATGGACCGTCAAGTTCGCCCTTTGCTGGAGTGGTTCTGAAACCTGCTGCAAGCAGAGGGAGCCCAGGGCTCGCCAGGAACTTGGAAGAAAAAAAAGAAGAGCGGAAAACAGATGTTACAAAGAACATCTTTCTGAGTAAAATCAATCAGGAAGAGCCAGCCAGATTCCCCAAGGCCCCTTCCAAGGTGACAGCGGGGACACCATGGGGCCAAAGTCAGGAGAGGGACAAAGGAGACAAGAATTCAGCAACTCCCAAGCAGAAGCCTCTGCCTCCCTTGTCTGTCTTGGGTCTGCCTCCACCCAAGCCCAGCAGACCACCCAACGTTGACCTGACCAGATTCCGAAAAGCTGACACAGCCAACAGTGAGTTGTTTCTCATTGCTCGTAACTGTGGTTTGCTCCCAGCCGAGAGTGTTGCAGCTTCTAGGAGGCACTTTAGAGCAAGGAATGTTGCGTAACTGATACTCATGTGAGTATAGGGTCAGTTTTCCCTTGGCGGTTTTTTCCTTTTGTGTAGGAGGTCTGACGAAGTCGAAAAATCCAAGATCTATTTGTGTATTCTGTGAGAAAGTGCCTGGGGGGTGGGGGGAGGCACTGACTTATTAGGAGGGACAGTTTCAAAGCAATACATCCATTTGACCAGTAAGTGGTTTTGCTTAAGGATAACCATTGCATTTCCTCCCTTGGTTGTGTCTGTTGGTTGAGAAATATACTGCCCATCAACAGTCAAAGAGAGAAGTGGGCAGACTTCCTAGTCAGTATTCTAGAATTGAGTCTAATTTTGATCACCAAAGGATGTATGTATCACCTGGAGGCATTTTTGAATGTCACAATGAACTATGATAATGACATTTTGTTAATAAAGCAGCCCCTAATCCAGATCAAATGGTTAATGCTGCAAATGCTATTTATTGTGTTCCCTAAGCCCAAGAGTAACAGGGTTTTTAGGAGATAGTACTTCATATATTATATTTTAGCTGTTTTTAATTTCCCAATAATGTCTATATGCAGTTTATAAAGGCATACGTAGCTAGAAAATGAAGAGAGGCAAAGAGTGTTTTGTTGTCATTCTAGAAGACTGGTCCAGTTTTTTTCCCAAGATGTCATTGCAATATTATGGTGTGGGGGTGAAATTTGATACTGAATGTCTCAGTAAATACTTGTCACCCTGTGTCATGATGAGAAAGGGTCACTCATGCCTTCGGTGATTAATATCCTAGCAAATGGTACACAACTGCTCTCCCTTGTAAGATGGAAATAGAATGATACATACAAGTGACCATACCACTGTAATTCATATGCTTTTCCAAATAAAATTATCATTGTCTTTTTCTATGTATGGTAGTACAGGCCTGTGATTCAGGAATTGGGAGGTGGGAGCAGGCAGATCAGAAGTTCAAAGTCTTGGAACTACCTTAAAGAATTTGAAGCCAGCCAGCCTGAGATACTTGAGATGTCCACCTCAAAAAAAAAAAAAATCTAGTCTCTGAAAGGTCTGTGCACAGGCTCCCTCTATGTAGCAGAAAAGAGAGAGAACAGAAGGTGAAGTCTGGGTGGCACAAGGCTGTCATCACCTTCAGATTGTGCTACCTGCTCCTGACTGGGGCCAAGAGGAGGCAGCTGATTCTACAAGGGGTGGAGAAAGATCACAGAGCCAGGCTGCCATGACTGTTATCCCAAGACCGGTCTCATCAAGGGCAGTTTGTTCCCTTGATTAATAACAGTTCACCCAGTTTGATGTGTATTCTCCAACTCAGAATGGCAGCTTGCAGGGACATTTCTAGATGTCTGCTATAGCCACCAAGGTTTTCCGAGTTCACAGCTCTTGCTCCGGCTCTGACAAATGCTCATGATAGACACACCTGGCTAGATGTGAGGTCTCACACTGAAGGACTTTGGGATAAATTCCTGGTTGCCTGAGACATTTCAGAACATTAGCCATTCATTTGTAATAAGGTGGGAAAGACAAGCAATTGTATGCTTTGAAAAAAAGTGAGGTTGGCCAGATGTTTATCAATGATGATGTTTTTCAATCTAAGTTGTAAGGGTACTGATTGGACCAAAATGCTTTGCAGTGAACATAGAGACTTACTCTAAGCAAACCACTTTTATCGTTGCTGGAAGTAGTTACAATAGTTTTCAAATTTAAAATAAAAATTCTATGTAATTGTTCTGTTGGCTTTTAAACCTCCCTCTAATACTCTCCTACTTCCTGCTTCATTACTCCTTTTCTGTTTTTACATCCAGGTAAATATTTATCATTTGTAGAGGACTTTTTATATGACTCTATTTATTCTTTGCAAGCAATGAAAAGGAATTCTATCCCAGCACTTTTAGGGAACTGGCCCAAATTGTAGCTTACATAAGCGGGGCCACGAGCGGTTCTCATGTCTCTCTGATGTCTCTCTGTTCTGTAGACTGTATGCTCATCCTGTCCTAGTCTCCATGCTGGCTGCCTTTAATGAAACATACAAGCTCTTGAAATGATGACTCAGGCACAAATGGTACCCAAAGACTCTGCATTCCTGTCTTTTGCTGTCTTTTGGTTAAAACATGTCCTTTTAAAAATTATTATAAATAAAACAGTGAGCTCCATTAAAGCAGAAATCAGCTTGTTTACCATTCTTTTCTCATTTGTGGAACAGAAAAGATGTCAATTTTCATCACTTTCCTGCATTTATACTCCCACAGAGGTATATTAACATGAAGCTAGCTGCCCCCAGCTTTTCCAGGTTTAAACTAAAATACTCTCCATAGTTTACTAATTACTTCAGCAGACTGTCTGTACATTCAATTAAATGGAGCTTTGACACAAAATGAATTTTATACAAAGTGTCCACCTTGAAGAGATCTTCTCAGTGTCTCACCTGTAAGCTGTAAACATGCACACATTGTTTTCTGAATGTGGAGCTAATAACATTTTTGGTTCCTCCACCCACCCTGGCACTAGAACCATTTACAATTACAAAACCCTAAACGTTTTTTTTAATTGAAATATCAAAACCTTCTCAAACTCACCCTTCTTTTGACTCCCTTAAAAGACTTCTTTCCAGGTGTTCTGGTACTATTTACCATCATGTCTGGGTACTTCTTGTTTGTTGTTTTGTTTTGATTTTTGAGACAGGGTTTATCTGTAGCTTTGGAGCCTGTCCTGAAATCACTCTATAGACCAGGCTGGTCTCAAACTCACAGAGATCCTCCTGCTTCTGCCTCCCAAGTGCTGGGATTAAAGGTGTGTGCCACAGCCACCCAGCATCATGTCTGAGATCTTAAGCACCCCACCAGGTCCAGATGTTGGTTCATGGGTAGGATGCAGAGAAAACTTACTAGGAAACATTCAGTTCAACCCTCTTTCTTGTCGTGTTAACACTAGAAAAAAACACTAATTCTTCTGTATGTTACCTATGGAAATAATCAGTTAAGTACCTTAACAGTTACAGGAATGAATCCAGGGTCAGCATTAACCAAAGGCTAGTAGAATGCTGTGCTCCCCCAATCTGTACCTGTGCTCGTCCAACTAACCCTGCTGACAGGAACTTGACATCAAGAAGAGTTGGGGTGTGGAACACAGAGACAGCTCAGGGGTTATGATTATTTATTGCTCCTATAGAGGAACTAGGTTTGGACCCCAGCACTCACTTGGCAGCTCACAACCATCTATCATTCCAGTTCTAGGGATCCTACTCCCTCTTCTGAGCTACGGGGACGCCAGGCACACATGTAGTACACAGACATATATGAAAGCAAAATATTCATAAAATGAAATAAATAAGAAAAAGAACTTAGGCTTGGAGCAGAGTTCAGCTGGAGAGCTACCACTTAGCACCCTAAAGGGGTAAAGCAAAGGACCTTGGACTATGTCAATAGCAAGTGAGCGATTTCTAGGAGAGGGGAAGACTTTCTTCCACAGATCCCAGAGCTATCACCACCCTCTTCCGGTTCAGCATTTTCTTTTTACATATGCTTTTATAACAAGAATTTATTTGTTTCTTATGTACTGAGAAATGCTTTATCTTAGTGTGCTGCAGTAGTCCCCATATTATTGCTGCAGGCTATTACAAGAAAGGTATTCAAGGCTCAAATGCATCTTAAAGATTTGAGGGTTAATAGTCTTCCAGAGAACCAAGTTTCTCCACAGTTAGCAATACCATTGGAAGTTAAGAATGAGGTTTATTTAGAGTGTGTCTACTCCAAGTGTGTCTCATTGGAGCATCTCAGGACACAACCCTGGATGTGTGTCTGGTGTATGCATGAATCAGAACTTGCTCAGCTGTGGGGTATGGCCTGAGGAGGCAATGAGGCCTTCTCCAAATTGAGCTAGGGTCTCACTCTCCCGATGTCTGTGCACTTTGAGACCAGAGCCCAGGCTTAACTTCAATTCTCTCACTTTTCTTGATTCTGGGAAATCTGTCTTTCAAAAGATTCCTGGGAATTCTTTCTATTCCAGATCTCAACTCCTGAGGAAGCACTTATTGTTAGCACTTATTGTACCATGTCTGGGTACTTCTTTGTTGTTGTTGTTTTTTGTTTTGTTTTTTGAGACAGGGTTTCTCTGTAGCTTTGGAGCCTGTTCTGGAATTCACTCTGTAGACCAGGCTGGTCTTGGAACTCACAGAGATCTGCCTGCCTCTGGTTTAAGCCAGTTTAACCCTTTAATATAAATGCCTTGGAAAGGCTCCCTTCAATGCGCAAGTCCTTTATCAGATCTGAGCTACTCTGGTTTTTTTTTTTTTTTTTTTTTTTTTTGGTCTTCCCTCACTGAGTCCTAGACATCTCTCAAGATCAAGATAGACCTGATCTTTGTTCTCTTGAGCAAACTATCCCATGGAGGGTTATATCCCAACAAAGAGCATTGCTGGGCTTTGTCAAGTCCCAACTCTTGTTTCAACAAACATTTACAGCCTCTGTTTTCAATTCATGCCAACTAATTTTACTGTGGGGAAAGTCAGAGGCCATCCTGAATGGCCTTTGAAAATTACTTGTTTTCTGTCGAAATTCTCAGAGAAATCTTTGTCCTAGAAGTATAGATATTTAGAGAGGCTATGTCTGTCCATCATTTAATCATCAGATGTTGGCCCTCTGTTGTTCTTGGGTTCTTCCAGGGATCTTCACTTTCATACACACAGAGATCACACCATCACTTTTGGTTTGGCAGATTCATGATCTGAGCAGCTAGAAGCTCTGCTCCAGGGTGATAAACCTGTCCTCCCCTCAAGCTATGGTCTAGGGTCTAAGCTTTGCTTTAAATGCTGGTCTCCACGGTGTTTGAAAGCTGTTTGGGATTTGCTGGGGACTCAGATTCTGTTGTTCTCTGAGTTCCTGTTCAGTGCTCTGTCCCAGGCATTACAAGGCCAGCATTAGCT